CCTTCCTTTACCTGTGCGCAGTTTTAGGAAACGGCCTTGAATTGAGGAATCACTGGGAACAAAGAAATAGTCTAGGCCGTTCATAATGCGGAAGGTTAGTCTAACGTCACCGCATAGTTGCCTATGGGCAAGGATAAATAGGTTGAGAGTTGACAGTTTGTTTTCATAAGGCAGGGCCCCTAGTCCTTTTGTCATTTTGATCGCCCACCTCTGTACCTTCTATAAGATGGTACAGTCCTTGGCATTCCAAGGCCTCAGTGCCTGGATAGCATATTATCAATTCGGCCGCACGATAGTACCAAATATTTTGAAAAAGCTCTCTTTGTAAAATCCCATAAAGGCTGGCCTAATGAGTTACAATATAGGCACGACCGACTTGGCTGCCTTTGCGTAGTTAAGTGTTGGTTGGAGCGAAGATGTAGTCCACACACCCAAGTCCTTCTGACTGTCAATTTGTTGCATTGGTGTACCGCAAATAAAGTAAGTCCATGAGCTGAACGCTCTGCAGCTAACAAGTTGGAGAAAGTTGCACTTACTTACATCGGAGGGCATAAGCCAGCTTTTCAACCAGTGCTCGAACACATTCAAGTTTATTTAAAATTGGTCTCCATCTGCTGCAGTGTGAGGAGTTTTCCACAATTTTATGCCGTCAGCAAACAGGATGACATCACAGTCTAGGTCCCTGACGCAGTCAGTTATAAAAGCAAAGAATAATGTGGGCCTAAGACTGAGCTCAATGGGACGCAGCTCATAATGGTTACCTCTAAGTACTTCTGGCACCCTACCTTCCCTCTTCGGGACCGTCCAGTCAAAAAGTCCTGTTTCTCTACAAGGAGGCTTCCACGAACTCATACGCTGCGCAGGTGCCGCGTGAGACTTTGGTGCGGAATGCTGTCAAGGGCTTTTTTGAAGTCAATGTAGATGGCGTGTATCATATGGCCTTCTCCGGGTGCTTTGGTGCACCGTTTAAGTGAAAAAAACCGATTCGTAAGACAGGACCTACGAAAGCCGTGTTGGGCATCGAAAAGGAGGTGATTCTGCGCAAGAAACTGCAATGAAGCTTTCATAATGATTTTCTCCATGATCTTTTAACAAATGGAGGTACGGCTCACTGATCTGCAGTTATTGGCAGACGCCCGACTTCAACTCTTAAATAGCGGGGTGGTGGTAGATGACTTCCAAGCGGATGGTAGACATCAAGTAGAAAATGATATTTTGGAAATCAAGGTTGCTGTTCGATCATTTCAGGAGCTAGCCCTTTCAGCAGTTTGGCCAGGATTGCATCGGAGACTGGGAAGGTCGATTCCTGCAGGTTTAATAACTATTCCTGAACGACTGCTTCAGTGAAGAGGACTGCTTCGATGGCAGGCCTCAAAAGTCGGTGGAAAAAATTGGGGTTCGCTCGTCACGACGGACCGGATGAAATGAGATACATGTTCACCCTTATCCTCTGAGATTTCCGCATTCTTGCCCGTTCACGACAGTGTGATAAGAGCTTTGTTCAGCGTACTGTGCCTTACAAAACTGTAAGGGACTCTGGGATGAGCCATAGCACGGTGAGGAAGATCCTTTCCAAAGACTTGTCGATCCCTGGAGACGAGAATTTTGATCCGATTTTCTTGCAATTTGTAACCATTTAGGGATTCAGGCGTTTGATCAATGAGAGATCTTTTCCATAATTCCTCTTCATGTTGACTTTCAACTTTAAGAATGGAGTTAAACAGCAGCATCTGCTCATTAGTCTTCTTCGCATGATTGGGTAGAGGTTGGAGAGGAGGCTGCAGTTTATCTCTTTGAACTGACATCAAATCTTGTTGATAGGGTCGGAGAGTGTGGATGCCTAGTCAATCGAACGAAGATTATTTTGCATCTGTCCGAAATTGCCACTTTAAATACTCGATCGAGAACCAAGCAGTTGTGCAAACAGGAAGATTAAAGGTTTATCGCACATGAGAACTAAATGGTTACTCTGAACATAAGCGCAGTAAATCGGCGTTCTTTTTTTTCAAAGTAAACATTCGGGGTGTCCCTAGAATACGGGTAAACATAGCAACCGCATGGCAACTACATATTCAACACCTGGTTAGTCGAGCCGTGATGCACTCGGGGGCTCCCAACTGTGATGGGCATGTAACACCCTAGCAACTACATCCCACACATACGGCAACTCCTGGCCAAATCACCACCCTCATCTGACTCTGTCTCTGATGATGGATCCGAGTGATAATCCGAAGCATCAGGCTAATAAAGCTCTTGAACTGTGTCCCTCATTTGCAATCATCGATCCTCCACGGAAGCATCCTCGTCAGCGATTGGAATTCTGGCTAGCCTTCGAGCTAGTTCGTTGCTGAAATGGAGATGGTGAGCATGCAATGACAACAAAGCAATATTCAACTTACCTGGGAGTCGCTTACCTTGAGGTGTACAGCAAGGCTGTAGGCGAACCCTCATTTTGGAGATGACAAGATTATGGTCGGTCAACCCGTCGGCAACCGGGATCGCCTTTGTCACCAGCACGTCCCGCTGGTCTCGCCTCCAGACGAGGACATAGTCCCAGCAGGTGTCAGTTTAGCGACCAAGGGTGTATCCAGATGCCCTTCTTTCGCGTCGTAAGGCGGAAGGTGCTGGTCACAATGAGACGGTGTTCTGCGCAGGTTCGTAGGAGGAGCAGGACATTGTCATTGAAGCCGCCGAGACCATGGGAGCCCAGCACCCCTCTTCAGGCAGCATGGTCTGTGCCGACGATAGCGTTGAAGTCACCAAGGACAATCAACATATGGGCTTTCGGCACCCTAGCCGGGAGGACGTGCTGGTCTTCTTAGAATTTACCATTCGATTCGTCAGAGATGATCGTGATAGGGGGGGAGGGGGCGTAGGAGCTGATGGTGGTGGCGAAAGTGGGTCCCTGAAGAGGCATGTGCGGGCCCATCAGGTGATCACCGATGCCCTGTGGCAGACAGGAAAGTTGTCCCACGATGCCGTTCGGGGTGGCAAAGGCGATGCCCGCGTCCCGTCACCCTGCCCTGGGGCGACCGCACCAGAAGAAGAAAAAGGTGTAGCCGGTGCCTACCTCTTCTAGCTGGCCGTCTTCGGAGAATCGGGTCTCGTTAAGTGCAGCGATATCCATCTTGTAGCGCACCAGTTCCTGAGCGACTAGCGCCGTCTACCGTCCCGGTCTCGGTATCTAAAGAGAACAAGCATTCCAGGCTGTCAGAGCGAGCGGACTAACCCCAGCAACCTGTGGGGTGGGGTGGAGGTGAGTAAGAGAGGGGGAAGAAAGGTAGTTGTTTCTTGTTTGATGGTTTAGACCTGTACGCGGATGTCGTGAACTTAGCACGTGTTTAAGGCACCCTTTATAGTCCCCACCGCCTTGCGGGGGTAAGCAGTGCTGTTCCCAAATGGGGTTGCTGAGTCGCCCCAGACGACTCCCGAACTCCACCATGGGTTACGTATTGGTTTAGCGAGAGAACATACCGATCTAGAGCGATCTAGAGCCCCACAAGCAGTCGCACATTGACTAGGGAAATCTCCCTTGTGTTTGCCCATCGTGTTGTGGAACCCCCACTTCCCATTGTGCCTTGGGGCTCTCCCTCGAGCCCAACTAACAGCCGCACAGCGACGCGTAATATAGGCAGAAATGGTCATTCTATTCAGTCATGTCTTTGTCGGCAATGTTATTCTGCCTATAGTACGCGCTGCTGTGCGACTGCTGGTTGGGCTCGAAAGAGAGCCCCAAGGCACAACAGAACGAGTGAGTTCCGTAACAGCCAACTCAAGAAATGTGACTTGAGATGGGAAAGATTCTTTAGAAACAAAATAAACTTTATTGCGTAAATTTACGAAACTGGTTCCCCAGCTCGTCATCAGACTGTTGGGTCGAACAAGTGAATCTGCGGTTGACTGAAGTCTGAGCAAATACGCGTCAATCCCTTTCGTAATTCCCATGGTTCTGGGTGCTCTCGTTCCCGTATATTTTCGATAAATTTGTACGTGGCATCCAAATCGATATGCCGATTAATTTATGCCTCATATGAGTGCATTGCTTCCAGGAATTCGCAGCCTTTCCTGATTGGACAGGCGCCAACATTGCGAGTGTTTTCTCACACAAATTTGTGTCCGTTGTTCAGTGTGTGCATAGCCACCTGGGATAGATGATCTCGTCTCCTCACCGTCGAATGATGTTCATGCATGTGGCCTGAGACAGATTTCCCAGTCTGCCCACAATAGACGGCATTATAACTGGCACATGGGATCTTGTAGACAGCACCTTTCCTATCGATGGCCAACCCTGCCTTAGGATGTATAAGCTTCGATCCTAGAAGTCAGTAACATATCCTGCAGGCTTCCATTGTTAAAGATCATAAAGGTTCCATTGAGAGAAAAAATATTCCTTATTAATCTGTTTCCTGAGAAAAATAGGCAATTACAACATGCATCTTGACATCCTGGCTCATTCGTGAAAGCTTCCCGAATTACGGATATCGACTCCGATAGGAACGTGACTATGATACGGATGTAGGTGACTATTTCTAGGCACTTTGTGCAGCCCTAATACCAGTTACGTTCTTTGGGAGGGTACTAGTGCAATGTGTAGGTTGGTTTACCGTACCTCAAACACAAGTGCTGACCCAAAGTTAATTTGCGTATGTCAATCTACTAACAGACAGCTAGTAGGGTATATTGTTAGACAAATTTAACATACTTCTGACGGATTCGAAGAGTCCATCAGCGAGTCCCACAGCGTTTTCCGCGTATTCCCATACCAGGACTCATACGAGGAGACCAGGTGAACCTACAGAATGGTCCAATCTCGAGAATGTGCCATTCAACGACATAAAGTCGGCAAAAAACGTGTCTGGTCTTCTATCAAGTGCGTGTGCCAGCGGCCTGGTCGATCACACTCCCGCTGGCCGACCGCGAATATTACCCGTTTATTCCGCTGATGAGTTTCCGCTATATATTCACATCAAATCTTTAAACAATTTTGAAAAGTCTTATCCTGAGGACTTTGCTCCCAGTTCACAAATCTACTTCAGAGGGAAATAGCTTACGTTGCGCTGATGCTATAACTATTTTTATAAGCATTCTGTATGGAAGGTCACCTTTCGTGCAAAAGCATGTCATCGTTTTGGTGTTGTGTTCTATCCATGATTCCTTTATTCCTGCCAGAAAACGGGGTCAGGTGAATGAATAACTTCTGCTCAACTCAGACAATGGATCATCGTTGTCCTTACTGACATCAAGCAAACTTTCCTCGGCTAGATCACAGTTGGTAGCCATGCTCCGTATTACAGATGGCTGACGTTTGCATACTGGGACTTTTTTGTAGGGCTACATAATCACATCTGACCAATTTGGCTTCCGTTTTACGTTGGAGGTTAGGATTAGGGTGTCGGTTAATGGTTTCCGATTTTCGGGTTAGGTTTATGCCCTTTAGGCTTAGGTTTTCTGGTTACGGTTAGGGTTTGAGGTTACGATTAGGTTTCAGTATTACGGTTAGGTTTTATAGTTAGGACTATGCATAAGGGCTACGGTTACGTTTACGATTTTGGTTAGGGTTTGAGTAAGGATTAAGGTTGCCGTTAGGGTTAACGGCTAACGTTTAAGGTTAGGGTTAGGGTTAAGCTTAGGATTAAGGTTAAGGTCGCCGTCCGCTTCCCCATTCCTGGCTACCAACTGCCATCTATCCCTTTCCTTCTTTCTGCCGTCACAAGTACTCGGAAAGAAAAAGAGCCGGAGCACTGTTTGTATTCATAGATGTCGTTGAGATTACCTTAAGGGCATTAGCGAGGAGAACAGAGAGGGAGAGTGTCATCTGACAGCGGCATCCCAATCTCAGATATGAAAGAGCGAAGACTCAGACTCCGTCTCTCCGGTCATGGGTAACTTAAATAAACACTCGGTCATTCAGCCGCGGGGTCACACCTGTCGGTTGACGTTATTACATATTTCAATCCATCCAGGCGTAGGCATTTCAGTTTATGCGGATTGCAGAATGAGGGTGGGTGTTTACATCTCTGCCTTGAGGTTTTCGCTAGAATTCACGCAAAAACAAACCAAAAAATCTATGAGTAGATCAAGAGAACTCCAAATCGGCCCTCAATCTCCGGTATAATGACGGAGCTGATCCTACAAGAGCCAGAAAAGACTGCCCTCATGCAGCAGGAGCCGGCCTTTTGGCGACGTTACGTTGACGAAACATTTTCTGTCGTCAGGATGAACATGCTGTAGAATTTCCATGATCTGTACAACTCAATTTACGAGAGCAGACGAAAAGGAACAGCGACTATCGTTCCTGGATGTGCTTGTTAGGTGAGGAAGCGACGCCGAAGAACAGACAACGGTTTACAGAAAGGCAACCAGTACAACACAGAGCTTCTCACTTTTCATAGCAATTAGCCGGTGACTCATAAACGAAGCTGCGTGATAACACCCTTCAAAACGCACCAAACGCACTACCACAGGTCGGAATAAAATGCACGTGAGGCCCGATATCTCCCTGACCAATCTATGCAAACTGGCCACTCGAGGGCGTTTATAGGCCGATGCCTACGTGTTCGTCCCCGGAGGATCCGACCGAAAACATCAGTGATTATATGGCATGCAATCCAATACATCAGCGAAATTTCATAGGAGACCGAGGGCACCGCTGCGGGATTATGTGTTGGTATTGCCCACCGACCAAAAGCTCCCGTGCGCAACAGGGGGGATAAAAATTAAGGACAGATGAAATCCCAGTGAACAGCCGGGTGTAGTGCATCGTATGCTATGTCCAAACTGCCCTTGTACTTACACAAGTTAGACTGAGCACATGCTCGGATTGTGCATATACGAACAGTATAATTCTATAATAATTCAGTTACCTCAGGATGCCGGCTTTCGAATGAACTTCCTTCCGGCTGCATAGAAAAACTACACTCTGCAAAAAATGACTCCTTAAGTAACATGCATTTTTCTCATTGATTTCCCATCCCCCTAAAAGTCAAATTATATTTCATGGAAAACATGCATAAAGACATTCATCCTTTCGCTCATTCAGTAGAAAATTACGTCTATTTCCAACTTTATACTTGAAAGAGGGACATAGTTCGGTTTTGAAAAAGTTTCTAATTGTGAGACTTTTTAATACCGTGAGATGGCCGTTCATAAATCGCCATGTCTCCGCATTTACCAATGTGGCTTGTAAAGTTAACAATATGAATCAAATCCAATGCTAAATTTTATGAACCCCATATGGTTTCCTCTTCATATCGTAGAGGAATGTGAGGTTTTTCATGCGCGGAGAATACATGTCTTGTGGTTTGGAAACCCTGAATGCAAAAGTGACGGCAGAGCGATTTCAAAATTATTCGGGAACTCAAATTTTTTTAAAAACTGACTAATACCCTTCCTTCAAGCATAAAATTGAAAGAGGACGTAATATTCTACCGAAAGAGCAAAAAGAATGATTTTTTTATGCATGTTTTCCATGAAATATAATTTGACATTTAGGGGCGTCGAAAATCAATGAGAAAAATGCATACTAATTAATTAGTCACTTTTTACAGAGTGTAGTTTCTGCATGCAGCCGGAAGGCAGTTCTTTCGAAAGCCGGCATCCCGAGGTAACTGAATTATTGCATAATTATACTGCAGGCTGATTAATTTTATAACCCTACTTAATTAATCTTTTCGTAACGAAAACGCATTTCAGAATTTCGGTTGACATTTCACGAGTTAGCCCACCTACTGTACACAAGTCAGACTGAACACAAACATAAGCTGGCTGTAAGATGAATTATCACAGGTGGCCGTCTATGTCTACGAAACGGGTCATGAGTTCAACTTCGCGGCCGTAACGATAATCGTCCGAGCGGTAGGCAAAACATGCCAGAGTTTGATTGAAACCTGGGCCTCGAATGAGAACTCAGGCAGTCGACATACCGATCTGGCGCCGGCATACATGGGCTTACGCAGTCACCTCCGGACCGCCATCACTGGTCATTGATTGGCCACTAGCCCTTTATAACTGTCACTTGTTCTGTTGCCCCTATCTGACGATGAACTCCCGCAAGTGTTCGAATGCTCAAGCAGCCTCCTC